GCCGCGGGAATTGCATTGATCCATGGTAATCCTGAAAGAGCAATAATTGCATTAAACAATAGTAAAGGTATATAAATAAATAAATTCTAAATTTTAAAAATAGCAATATTTATTATATATTTTCTTATTCTCTTTTGAACCATAGTTGAACGTTTGGAATTGATTTCAACTGCACTAGCTAGCTATGATCATGGTCAATCAAATCCAAAAAACGTTCTTTTGAGCGAAATGTGCCGTAAACTAAGCAAAGAATTACGTGAACCTTATCTAAGAGTAATCTTTTCGTATATTGCGTCTGGTAATTGGCTTTATGTGCTACAACAGCAAGAAGAGCTTGCATTGCTTGATAGAGTTGGTATTGCATTGCGATTCTTGGATGACGATGAACTTTCGACATATTTATCTAATGCCACCAACAAAGCTAAAGTTGCCGGCGATATCGAAGGAATAATTTTAACTGGCTTGACGTCAGACGGCGTGACATTATTCGAGAAATATGTAGATAACACTGGCGATGTTCAAACAGCAAGCTTAGCGATGAGTTTTTGCGTTCCACGGAAATTTAAAGATGATAGAGTTTTAGATTGGATAGAAAAGTAAGCACTTCTATTCTCTGAAAATTATTCATCCAGCTAATACTTACTGATTTACGTTTTTATTAATTAGTTATCGTTTATTATTGGACAAGTGGCAAATGTTTCGTGCTCGTGCATTATTCGATATCGCGCGTGGAAAACATATGGGTTCTTCAATATCTTCAGCTGCCGAAAATATACCACCTCAAGTGTACGTCCGATGTACTTTCTGTAGCCAAAGTATTGCACATAATCTATGTATACCTGGAAAGAATAGGCGGGTTACTTTACCTCTTTTAGCTCAAGGAGCCATGTATCCCAAGCAAAAGGTAATCGAAGACGTTTTATTTGCAAACCTAAAGCGCCGACTAATTGCTAATCTCCATTATAGACTACTTGTTGTCCTGTTTGTTCCAAATCTTTGCCCCGATGTTCCATATGTTTATTAAATCTTGGAACACCAACAGACAATTTAAGAGAAGCAATAGCAAAAAATTTGTCAAGTAATGACAGTGAGTCATTTTAATTTACTTAATGTTCGTAAGTTAATCGTTATTGCTTTTATATGATTCTGAATGTTTTACATTTGTAATTAAAGGACCTTCTGGATTTGATCTTTGGTTTACATGGTGCCAATCATGTAGACATGGAGGTCATGCTTTGCATATGTCTCAATGGTTTGAAAAACATAAAATTTGTCCTGTTAGCGAATGCCCTTGTGAATGTCCTCGTGAAATATAACGTTAATATAATTTGGTTTAGTTGCTATTGTATTATATTGTAATTCATCAAAGTTGTAAATATATAAATTATTGTTATTAATATAATAATAAATTTAATAATATCGATATATTTTTAATGATTTTTAATTATTTTTATATAAATACTAATGATTTTTTTTTTTTTTTTATAAAAATACACATTTTTGTTAATGATTATTATTAAGACCGTTTGAAATTAAAAATTCGTTTAACGTTCTCCTGAGGCTCTTCCTTAAATTAAGCAATATGAGTAATCAGTGTTGTCAAAATTTTTCTATTGGGTCCAATAGATCTAAATTCTAATCTATTGTTCTATTGTTCAATTGATAAATTTTCTTAATAGAACTTGTTAAATGCCAACTTATTCAGAATTTTTAATTTGGATTAATGAAAATTTAATAATAAGTACAAAATAGACTCTTTCTAACGATCACTAAAACAACAAATTCGAAAAAATAAAAAATAAAACAAAAAACTTATACACAGTTACTTTACAATAAATAATTAAATATTAATAACAAACTCTAGTCTTTTTCTCGAGTACACTAAACACAACAATTAAAGAAACAGAGATCTAGCTTTTTTTACACCTATATCTTTCAACAAATTTATGTTGCTAACTATGTCAGCAATATCTACAAACAGTAGTACTACTAACTAACAAAAAACCCTATTACTCCTACTACTATTAATATTTCTTTTACAGATGAACATCAGAAAAAAAGAAATCAAAAAGACAACAATAACAATAAAAAAAGATTTGCTTTATATACTATATATACTTTTTTAACCAATTCTGAAAATTCAAAAAAAATTTACAAAAAAGTAAGAAATCTGGCTCTATCTTAATAAATCAACATATGATATTATGTATATCAAATATTCTTATAACTTTTGATTAACAAAACAAAGAACTCAGAACAGATCTCTTTCTAGAATTCAATTTTAATAGTCTTAAACTAATATCTAAGTTTTTAGCAATAATATCTAATCTAGATCATATAACTATAGAAATTAATATAATATAGAAAATGCTAAGTCTATTTCAATACTTAATATAAGTATTTTTGTACTTACTTATAGTTAAGCTCTAACTAGTCAAAAGATATCTCAATATAACTCTATAAAAAAGAAAAAGAATAATAATAGTTTACAAGCAGATAATAAAAAAAAAAAATAAATAGATAAAATAATCTTAGCTTTAAAAGAATAGAGGTTTGAAAAATACTAACTAATAGATATTTTTTTCTGAAATTAAAATAAATATATAGAAATCTTTATTTCTCTTTCTCTAATAAAATTTTTTTTTTTTTTACTTAGATGATCTTGTCCTTCATTTTATTAAGAGAATTACTAGACTAGTAATAAAATAAATACAAAAAATTAAAACTATTTAAGACTATTCTAATTTTAAAACTGCCTACTTTTTATAACTTCAGATTCACTTAGCTACCAGTTTGGTGCCTAAATATGATCTGCTACAGCAGCAAATTTTCTTCTCAAAGCAGAATGCATACTAACGTATATTCTTTCTGTTTTGATCAAAAGAAAAATATGAGATAGTAGAAGTAGAATATATTATAAAGAGTAATCATAGAATTGTATTAGCAAAGATAAATACAGGTATAATACAAAAAACAAGATCTCAAGCAAGAGAGAAGTAACTAAAAGAGAAAAAAAGAATTCTTAAACTAAACAAAGTATAAGAAGAGAATTAGAAAAGATATAGAGCAAAGTTAAATAAAAAATTAAAGAAAAAGCTAGAAGCAAAAAGTAATATAGCCCTAGTAAAAGAAAACTTTACAAGTAAAGGCATCAATAAAATATAGAATATAATCTTAAGCAGTATCTTAGAAAATGCATATGCAAATTTGCAAAACCAAAAGATATCAAAAAATAAAATACTACTAAAGAAGTTAAAAAGTAGTAATAAGATATATAAAGATTTGAAGTACTTAGATAGAATTTGTCATATGTGCTTTAAAAAAACAGAGCAGAATATAGTTAAAGAAGAATGTCAACAAGCAAATAAAAAAATCAACAAACTTAATAATGTGTATGAGATACAAATAGAAGAGATAAATGTAAAGCAATAGATAAGAAGAAGAGAAGAAGAACTAAAAATATTGTAAAAGCTTCTCAGTACAAAAGTTTAATAAGAAAGAAAAAAAGAAGAGATATCAGATATAAATAATATATAGATACTCATTGTGAAGCAATTCAAGATGAATTAAAACATATGCTTAACAGTTTACTTGAGAGATTCTCTAAAAAAATCAAGATCGATAGAATGATAAAAGTTATAAAAAAGAAAAGGTATTGCTTATAGAAGAAAAAGAAGTAAAAAATAAAATAAGATCATGCTTTATAAAGTAGTTCTGAAAATAAATTACAAACTAAGACTTTTCTATTACAAGATGAACTAAGGCATATAGTCCTATAAAAAAGTTAAACAAAAATATATATGATAGTTTGCTTAAGATAATAATAGAAGAGGAATAGAAGAATACTCTTAGCAAAACTAAAAACAAGTCTGTACTAGAAGTCTCTAATATTAGCTATTCACTAATTAAGAAAGTAGAAAAACTAGTACAAAAAGTTTTTATAATACTAGCAAATCAGTATATAGCTATAAGAGATATTCTATTTAAATAGAAGTTAGGACAATTACATCAGAAAATTTTTTTAGAAACTATATATTGATAGTAATCTCCTAATTTATATCGATATATAGCTTCTTTGCTGTATATAATTGCTAGAGATTACTATTGATATATAACAAAAATATTGTTACAAGAGGTGTAGTCTTCTTAATACACTTCAAGTAACATAAAATACAGAAGAGAAGCTCTTAACAGTATTTAAGTAGAATATTATATCACTATAGCAGTTTATTAGTTAAAGTTTATTTTTAAAGCTAAAAGATTATATTTATTAAAGAACTAATAGAAAATTTAGAATATTATTAAGTAATAACTAAAGAACTTGTAGTCTTTTTTTTTTTTTTTTTTTTTTTTTTTTTTTTTATTTATTTATTTATTTATTAATAATATTGTTATCAAATGAACTTTAGCATATTTTCTTAATTATTTATTATTATATTTTTTTTTTTTCTTTGACAGTCATGTTATAAACTTTATTAAGTTGTTAACCATATCCGTAGCCAAGTTACATATGATTTTTCAATTGATCTAATTTCCTAAACTTGATATCACTCAGCTACTACTAGAGTACTCAGGTGTGACCTGTTGTACTAGTCCAAAGAAGACTAGAGAACTATGTTTAACTCTCTTACATCTCACAATTAGCTACTACCTGACTGATAATAACCTTTCGTAGAAGGAAAAAAAAAAAGCTAACCTGATAGTTTTTAACTCTCTTTTGTTAGATTTTGCTAACAGAAAAAAATATGAAAACTAATACAAATATATGAAAATTATAAGAGTAGGTCTACTACCTAGCTTAATCTCCTATTTATATAAATGAAAAGTCAAAATATAAAATAAAACAAAAACAAAAAAAAACAAAGCTAAAAGAAGAAATAAAAAAGATAGAATAGAAACAAAAAAACTTAGTACAAGAAAACTTATACTTAGTCAAATTGGTAAAAATTATATATAATATCAACATTATATTATATATCTATAGTATATTTCTTCACATGTCAATAAGGTATTAGTTTTCAAATTAGAAATCTACATATTGTTTGTTTACCCTAGTCACGTCAGGATCAGTTGATTGAACTAACTTATCTCAAAAAGAAAAGTTGCACTAATGCTGATCTTCTTACAAGAAGAAATCAGATTTCCTACTTTTGAAAAACAAAAAAAAAACAAAAAGAAACTGAGTGATATAAGGAAGTCCAGAAGATAAGTTTTCATTAAGCAATCATCAGTATCTTAAAGAAGTATAGGAGTTTGTATTCGTAAAATAATATATCCAAGAGGTCTGGTGATCTTAGTGTAGTGGTTAGGTTGCCAGACTGCCATGCAAGAGGTCTGGGGTTCAAATCCCACTGTCAACGAATTTG